CTCCGTGTCCTTTGACGATAAATTACTGAGACATATCAGTGAGCAAAATCAACAACAAGTGTCACAACGTTTGCACTGCTGTCTGAAGGTGAGCTTTTAATGACGGCCAAACTGCAGCTGAAAGTTTTCCACTTGAACTCCATCAGTGCATGAATGAAAATTTGAACCTGCAGGTCATTCATAACTCCTCCCACTGAGTGTCAAACACTCTGTCTGACCCTGGACTCACTCACACTGTGAACTGTAAACTTTTTACCCGATAAAACCCGGAGCAAAAAGATGTGGGTACAAGACACGATCTGTCGGCAGCAAAACTACAGGGAATATCATACCTTTGGATGCTGATGAGTAAAATCCAGCAGTTCCTCGAGTGTCCACTAAAGGCTCACTGCAGAAGCACAGGAAGTCACATACACACCCATTCTAAAAAACCTGTTTTTACAGCAGAGATTAACATGTTTACAGCCTGGTTCAAAAAAACAAATAGGTCTGATTAGCTCATGTCTCAATCGACACACACTGTACGGGGGGTGAATGTTTTGATGACTCATCCGTTTTGATTTGATGAAGGATAAGAGTTATTCACAATTTCCAGCATGGAGGCCGCTATCAATGGGACTCCAGCGCCCCCTACAGGAACAGATGGGGGACATCACTCAGGCTTCGATCATTCATATTTACAGGCTACATTTACACCTGACCACAGAGTTATTATGGCCAAAGCAACTTGCAGAAACTCTCAAATATTCTGTCAAGATTTCCACTTCCCCAAATGGATTTAATCTAAAGAACTTTGTGAAAACGTCAAGAAGTTAAGAAGGCTAACTTCAAAGGTTATGACCCCGCCCTGGTTTAATATCTCATAAAAACACATTTAATTATTATTTTCTTCTCCTCAGCCTGCTGATCATTTTACAACCTTCATACCTATGCGCCTCTTTCCCAAGAACTGTTTGTGCTCTTCACCTGAAAAACGACCAATACCCCCCCCCCACCCCGAAACCCATCAGTCCGTCCGTCTGTCCGTCCTGCAGGCATCAGAGCCCCAAACAGTTTACAGAGCGACACAGCAACCTGTTTAACCTCCACATAACACCTGTCCTGTCTGCTAAACACTCTGTGAGCATCAGCAGGAGATCGTAAACATCTGCAGAGCTGTGTTTACCTGACACGTGTTAGAGCAACCCCCTACACACACACACACACACACACACACACACACACACACACACACACACACACACACACACACACACACACACACACACACACACACACACACACACACACACACACACACACACACACACACACACACACACACAGCATGTTAATGTGGCTGACCTCTTTCGCTCACTGTTCACTCCCGGGTGTTTGACGGCGGTTTGTGTGGGCTGAGCTCAGATTTATGTAACGTTCTCATAACAGACGGTCAGTTTGATTGGTGGGAAACCCGCAGATATGATTACATCATCATATTTCAACTTAATGAGCATTTTCACCGGCTGCCTAAAGGTCAATTAGACCCACCCTTTAAGGGGTACCTCTGTATTTTCGAGGTTGAATGAGGAACTCGTCAACAGTAAGTACCAGACATGCTCGGGTGGTCAGATCTGCCCAACCTGCGTTTGTATGATGATGTAGCACGTTGTGATTGGCTGTACGTCAAAGAGTCTGAGAAAGAGATCGACGTCAGGGGCTGAATCCTCGGGAAGACTTTCTGGGACGGATTGTTAAACAGAATCCATGCAGGTGAGACCAGCAGGTGAGTCTGTGTCCATCAGACTCTGTAGACGAGGACTGCAGAGAAATATCAAACTGTAAGATGAACAAAACAGTGAAGTCATCGTAAATGATCCAATTTGAGGATACTTGAATATATTTAGTTTGTTTTCTTATATTTTAATGTTTGATATCGTAAGGTCTTATTTTCCCTTATAGTCGTGTTTTTTAATGCTTTTCATGTTATTAATGTTCTGTTTTCTTTATTTTGTATGAACACTTCTCCATAAATAAACCTTGGTGGCCTTTTGACACGCACTTCAGACGACCCCACTTCAAAAATACTAAACTGTCCCTTTAAATGGAAAGGACAAATTTAAGTGCTGGAGAGAGGAAGAGCAGGATTCCCACCAAACTGGACTGATCAGGAGCCCGGTGGTGCAGTGGTTCAGTGAGGAGGTTCCTGGTTTGAATCCCCGTCTGACAGGAGCCTCTCTGTGTGGAGTTTGCATGTTCTCTCTGTGCAAGTCTCTCCGGGTACTCCAGCTTCCTCCCACAGTCCAAAGACATGCTCGTTAGGTTAACTGGAGATTCTAAATTGTCTGTAGGTGTGAATGTGAGTGTGGCTGGTTGTTTATCTCTATATGTCAGCCCTGCGTACAGTCCAGGGTGTAACCCCGCCTCTCGCCCAATGACATCTGGGATCGGCTCAAGCCCCCCTGCGACCCCAACTGGAAAAAGCAGTATGGAGGACGAATGGATGCATGGACTGAATATTTATGTGAACCACAGCCGCATGTCATTCCCCACTCTCTCTCCCTGATTTCCGACTCCGTCCACTGTCCTGTCTCTCCATTAAAGGCATAAAAAGCCCCAAAAAAATAAATCACTAAAACACTGACTGTAAATAAAACTGTTCTTCAGAGTCGAGGATGAAACACCTGACCTGACAGAGAGTCTGTTGGGGCCCTCAGTGATGCATCATAGTTAACTGACTGCATTGATAAAGCTCTGTAATGTTCGTGTGGTGAAGATGTGACAGGATACATAGCAGAGGAAATATCACCGGGGTCCTGATTATGTTTGAGGAGCTCGCTGAGACCGGGTCGTTCTATGAGACCGTCACGGACATAGAAACGTCTGAAACTGAATTTATTCTGCATCATGAAAATGACAATAAACAGCTGAGACCGACCCATATGTCTACGGCGAGCGAGGATGAGGTTCACGGCAGAGCAATAACACATCAATCACCCGAGTTATTTTGTTCTAATGTAAAGAGATTGAAGGTGCAGCGGACAGCTTGAAGCCTCAGGGTGTCGTACGGAGGATCTTTGTTTCAAGTGCGACTCTGCAGGAGGAGAAGAGTCTGAAGAGGGACAGCTCAAGTGTTCCCATTTAGAAGCAGCTGATTAGTTTAAAAACCTTTGCTTTGATCTTAAAGGGTTTATCCATCAGAGGAAAACCAGCAACACAATAAAGCAGATTTATCATCATTTTAACATTCAAAGCTCAGTCCTTCATGAAGAACTGGAGACAGGAAGTGAAACCATCAGAGCTTTTAAAATCCAGATCCTGATTTAAAAAAACAAGAAATGAGCAGAATTCAGGACGATGGGTTTAAATGTTTATTTTTATATCTGTTCTTTTTTTCAATGACCTCATTCAAGTCGGCGTACACTCAACGTTATCAGCCTGATTAATGTCGACATGCCGATTTATGTTATGACGATGGAGTTGATGTTATGACGAGGATGAATATGGTTTGTTTGATTGCGACGATTTTAAAATGGTTTCTATACTGATGAGAACTCTCAAGAACAGCTGACGGTGTTGTGCTTTGCATCTGGTCACTTCCTGTCAACACCTGTGGTCACTTCCTGTCAGCACCTCTGGTCACTTCCTGTCAGCACCTGTGTGTGTCCAATCAGACTTAAAGCTGTTTGTTTACACTTCCTGACGTTGTCTCATCCTCTCTAGATCGTCTCTTGCGTTCTTCTCTTCTCTGGTGTTCACCGCTTTGGATAAAAGTGTCTGATAAGTCAATTGTAGAATTTTCGGGTACAGATGTAGGGCCGTTTCCGGATGTTATCAGCAGGCTGATGATCTTGTGTTGCACTTACTTTCCAATAAATGTCTTTTTTCAGGTCAGACAGCATGAATTTGCACGTCTTTGTGTTTGGGTCCCAAAAGAATCAAGCTAAGAAGATTTACAAGTTATCAAACGGTGTTACTTACAACAGATACGTGTGCATTGCGTGTCCGCCCCGGTCCGTTACGGAGCCATCAACACCCACGGCCTGCGTCCTCAGAGCGCTGGAGTGCAGAGACAAAAGAGTTCCCGCAGTAATTTACAGATTCACCCGCAACAGCACAAGATAAGACAATTGAAACACACATTCAGGCATTTTTCTGAACTGTCAAAACAGAGTGTTTTATTCTGAAAATTAACCAGATGTCTGTGTTAGATGGAGCGCAGCAAAGCCGGTGGAAGCTCACACACTGAATAAAGTAAAGACCCATTGGCTGACGGAGATGAGACGGGCCGAACAGGCATCTGGTGGAATTTGGCCGTTATCATTCGTGGAGACAGAAAGGGTAAAAAAAAAGTTCAATTCATTTGCGTGCGTGTGCCTTCAAACTCCAGGCCACCCCTGCATAAGTCAGTGGGTCACCCCAATTTTAAAAAAGTCTGGTGGTACGGTTCTGGACCGTCCCGGGATAAGGTGATGGATCGTGGTCAGATCTGTGGTCATCATGTTCCCATAAACGCTCACACCAACATTAAACTTTTATCAGCTCATTCTCGCTCCTCTCTTCTCCGACGTCGGGGGATCCAGGCTTTAAATGTTGTGTGTTCAGGCATTAAGAACGATATGAAACACAAACGTTACCATTTAATGCTATATGTTGGTCACTTACCCGGAGACCGTATATAAAGCTGGACAGATTGTTTAAAACTTCTCCAGTTGTACAAAAGTGAAACATGCAGTCACTGACAAATATGACGAGATCTTTGTGAAATATGTGTTTGGTTTCCCTTCATGCACTCTGCTGCGTCTCCATCTGCTCTCCTGTTTGGCCTCTCTGCTCAGGGTTTACATTAGATCTCCATTAGTGTCACAGATCCTGCAGGGGGGGAGGGCTGTCTTTACTCTCTGTGTGCAGCACAGGTGGTATCTGCTGCTCTGTGTGTGTGTGTGTGTGTGACCAATTTTCCTCGACAACAAAGTTAGTCAAGTCCCCCCCCCCCCGGTCTTATCTTGATTGGTGAGTGAGGGGAGGGCGAGTGGGTGAGGCGATGTGGGGGTGTGGATCTGCAGACGCTCTCTCACTGATCCAGCTCCTGCACAGCCTGAGAGGAGGATTAGATCTACGAGGACTTCTTCAACAAGGATTAACGTCCAGAAAAATCATCAGGAAGTCAGATCAGACATTTGGAAAAACTATGAAGGAGCTTTGATTACTTTTAAACTGAAGACAGACATTTAGACAAAGCATCACAAACTGAGGAGGAAAACTTTCTGCTCTTGCAAATCTTTCTTCAGACTCGTCAGACAATCTCAACTTTTCTGCAGCTTCATCGAATCCGCCCTGACAGTTCTGAGGAGGCGAGCTGGGTGAACAGGGACAAACGGACGATGAGAGAGACGCCGTGGAGGAGCTCAGTTCAGGTGTGAGCTTGCAGACGGGCTGAAGATCCAGAAAACAGCTGATCTCGATGTAAACACCATGCAGACCCTGCTGCTGACCTGGCACCAGAGACCCTGGCCCAGCACAGGACAAATGTTCCTGCTCTGCTTCGTCATCTTCAACCAGCAGGTAACATTTATTATATTTATTTCATTTACTATATTTATTATATTTATTATATTTATTATATTTATTATATTTATTATATTTACGCTCTGAAACTTGAGGTCTTTAAACAAACTTACACTCATGTCTAACTGAGTCTGTGACGTGTTTGGTGTCCCTAAATCTGAAACCTCTTATTTCATGTTGACATGTTTCTTCTCAGCACAGAACAAGTCTTCACGTGTTGAGTGTGAAACATCTCATTACCCATAATGCAAAGCAGAAATCCTGCTGACTGGAGGAATCAAAAATAGAGTTTGTTCGGCAGGAGGTCCGAATGCTGCTTCGATATTCTGAAGAAATCATCGCCTGAAAATCGTATTTTTAGTGACGTGCATGAGGAAACATGTTAGTATCTGATTTTAGAAATCAAGTCTGAAGGATTTTTTTAAAACTGGAATGAGGAACGTGCAGAAAATATCTCAGTGATAATCATGAAATAGCGGGAAAAATATCATCAATATCATTTGATGCACACTAAACGTGAGTCTTCTTAGGTAAGTTAGACTGACAGCAAAGGGTTAAAGTTTAAATCTTAAGCCTTCATAGTGTTTAGGAGAGCTTCCTTTGACAGAAGAATCTCTACCTGACGGACTTTAGGAGATTTATCATATTTATTAAACGCACAAGAAGAAGAAGAAGAAGAAGAAGACAGCTGATGTTAGAGGCTTCATGAAGTCAGAGAGTTTGGTCCAGAGAGGGGGAGGGGGGGGGGTCTCACTGATCTGATCTGCTCCTCAAACAGCCTTAAAATCTCCTTTCAGTGACGAGCATGAGGAAAGGACTTTGTGTCTGTGTTTAGTAGGGATGTAAAGATAAATAGTAAAATCGGGGATAAATCGATTCAAAGGTGTCGAGATTCACATCGGTACTCTGAAAAATAAATCTCAGTAACATGGTGAGCGTCAGCAGCTGTAGAGCAAGATTTAGAGGTTGAGGACACAACACCGTCTTTTAAACCGGAGGTGTGGAAGCATTTTGGCTTCCCCAAGACAGAAAATGAAAGAGGTGAGAAGATAACAGACGAGACAAAATCTGTGTGCAAATATTACAAGAAGACAGAGAACTACACAAATAACACGACCAACATGATGCAGCATTTAATCCACACCACAATGAGAAGCTCCAATCACCTCCCCTTGTTGAGAGAAAACAAACATTAAAAGGCCAAACCACACTGACAAGCGGGTTAGCAGCCACTAAAGGAATCTTTCAGTCAGAATTTGTCTACAAAAATAAATCGTGAGAGAATCGTATGGTGAGTTGAGTTAATCGTTATATCCCTATTGTTAGAGGAATACTTCATATATATATATATATATATAAATAAATATTAAGATCATTAACGTTTTGTACGAGTTTACTTAGATTTCCTGCAAAACAACGAACCATAAAGCATATTTTTAAAAGATGAGTTTGAAGAAGAGTGTTCTGGACATCTGATCATGAAACTCAGTGTGCAAAAAAAAAAGTGTTTTAAAAAAACACGCTGGATGGACACAGTGAGACACGATGAAGGAACAGTTTGTATGAAACCAGAGAGGAGTATCAGCAGAGAGCAGAATCCAGAGAAGAAGAAGGTCAGTTCAGTCTGCAGCTGGACATGAGCAGCTTCACTCTAAAAAATAAATGTGTGAATACAGCTGATGCAGCAGGGTCAGCGGTGTCTGCAGCTCGGCGCTCTGATAAAGAAAATGTTAAAACGTCTCTGTAATGACAGCGAATGAAGAAAGGGTCATTAATTATGACGAGCAGGTCGGAACAGTTTAATCACTTTAATCAGGAGCTCGTCCTCCGACCTCATTAATGAACCAGCGGAGATAAATAGAGAGGATTGTTCCACGTGTTGTAAGATCCAAAGAAATAAGAAGATAAAAGTGACTCCTCTGTGGGACAAGCTGATCTCTGTCCAATACTGCCACCAAGAGGACAAACATGAGTACTGCAGCATCAATGTCACCATGGATGATGATCTTGGATAACGTTTCACCTCTCCTCCAAAAGGCTACTGGGTTGGGAACCGGAGGTCCTGGTGCGGACAAAGTCTGGAAATGTATCTGGTAGCTGGAGAGGTGCCAGGTCACTTTCATGAGCAGTGCAAAGGTACCTTTGAGCAAGGCACCGAGCCCGCAACTGCTCGGGCGCTCTTTCACATCAGGCCCCCTCCCAACTCTCCATCAGTCCACAGGAACCAGTGTGTGTGTGTGTGTGTGTGTGTGTGTGTGTGTGTGTGTGTGTGTGTGTGTGTGTGTGTGTGTGTGTGTGTGTGTGTGTGCGTGTGCGTGTGTGTGTGTGTGTGTGTGTGTGTATATATATCTTCTTCTTCTCAGTAGAGCTGTGTTCAATATACTTTAATAGAGAATATATTTCCTAAATATGATGATAATGGCGACCCCACGTGGGGTCAGGACCCGGAGGTTGGGAAAGCCTGACCTAAAGGTTTGACAGCATTATAAGGCGAGAGCACCCCCCTGCTGGCCAGATATTATTTTTTAAACTGCTTTAAATTTGAATTTAAAGAAAAAAAAATGAGTAAACTCTCTGTTGCAAGAAGAATTAAATCTGCAGCTGTTTTAGTTTTTATTTGAGATGAGAATAAAGATGTCCTTTACTCACAGGGATAAAACACCGCCCCCTAGTGGCTGGAGTGTGCGACTGCAGCTCTAAAGTGTAGGCAGTTGTAGTCCAAAGTGCTCCGTGGAGTATTAGAGATGATGACTTGTGTTTTAAAGGATGTTACGTTATTCTTCATCATCTTCCGTCTCATTCTGTAAATCTGCAGGTCAGCGGCTCCGTGCTCGAGAGTCTGATCGCTAAACGGACCGAATATTTGGAGAGGTGCAACAGATCGCTGTCGGCAGGTTCTTCTTCATCACAAACTGGTGAGACTCCTGATCCGTGTGTGAATGTGACATATCCTGTTTGTGGTCTTACAGTCCTGATTCTTCTTGTTCCCTCAGGAGTCTTCTGTAGAGGAACGTTCGACATGTTTGTGTGTTGGCCTCACTCTCCTCCTGGGAACGTGTCCGTGCCCTGTCCGTCTTATTTACCCTGGATCAGTGACGGTAAGAGACAACTACTTCATGAGTCGTACTACTTTAATCATAGCAGAGATCTATCGTCTCTTACTGTGTGGATGAGAGACACAGATGTGTTTTTTAGGCCTGATTATGACGGAGAGAACTCCCATGATTCCCCGCCAGCCTCAACGTCATCTTGTGTTATTGTTTTAAAAAACAATCCGTAAAAACGGCTTCGCCTAATGCTGTTCCTTTACTGATAACTTAACTAACCTACCACACGACCTCTAATGGCGCCCACAGCCCAACAGGAGATCTCCTGCTATCGCATCCTTCTGTGTGCAGACCAAACAAACTAACCAACCAAAACACAACTAATCCAGGAGACATAATGACTGTGGAGAGAAGAGTCTGTACAAAGATGAGAAACAGCATATTAACGTGTGTGTGATGAACCTGCAGGCGTGTCGAGGAGCGCTCACAGGGAGTGTCTGGGGGACGGGAAGTGGAGACAGAAGGAGAACTCGTCTGAGGCCTGGAGGAACGATGAGGAGTGTCAGGAGGAGCGATACTTCAAAGACAAGGTGAAATACTTCTCTCCTCTCCTCATGGACTCTGTAACAGACTCGTCCTGTGTGCGGAGAGTTCTTACTCCTACATCTGACGCTAAGCTACGTGCTACGCGCTAGGTGTTCTCATCATATCATGTTTTATGTGTCTCCAGGAGGAGGAGATGCATCGACAGACGCCGCTCAGACTCATCTCTGTGATTGGTTACTCTCTCTCTCTGTCCTCCCTCATACTGGCCGTCCTCCTGATGGGGCTGCTGAGGTCAGTGACGGCCGGCGGGGCGTGGAGGGGGGCTCGAGGGGGGTCAGATAGTCAAACTGGACAATGTGACCTTTCTGCGTGGAGACGAGAAAGATGAGGGATCATTGTTTCTATGGTTACAGCTGAAAAACTGATTGGATTTTTTTGATTTGATTTATTTTATTTCGAACACAAACAAAAACAGAAAACAAGAAATGCTGGAATTAAAAATATGTTGAAAACAAATTAAATATAAACGCAACATTACATGCACGAAAAGGAGTAGGAAGAAGTTTAAACTTATCTAATCCTACCCTCTTTTAACTCAAATATATAATGTAAATAATAGGTCTTAATTATCTATTAGTACATAATGTAATATATTCGGAATTAATTACTTTTGTGACATGATCTAATAATCTAATTAATGAAATTCAAACTAATCGAATTAATCAAATTATAAAATAACTCCTTCTGAAGAAAGTGTCGACATCAGACTGGTTATGACACAACGTCTGAACCTTATTCGAGTGTTTCCGTTTAATTATTTGCCTATCCTCTAAGAAAATAAAGAATCTGCAGTTTCTAAAACGTCTGAAGAAACTCCTTTGGATAAAATCCAAAGAAGAAAAAGTACAAGTGTGGTGTTCCTCCTGCAGAGTCACTACACGACTAAAGCTACGCGGATGTTTAAACATCTCTGCAGTCGTCATGTAAAAGCTCCGCTGAGTCGTCCTGTTCGACCATCGATAAAGGGCTGGTTTATTGGTTTTAGCTTCCCTGATGATGAACATGCTGTCAGCGTGAAGATGAGGAGGATGCAGAGATGTTTACGGACTCAATCACTGCTAATGACTTTATAACCACGGGGAACATCTCCATGAAGACGCATTGGCCGTCTGTCGGCTTGTTTTCCTTCTCTGCATTGACTTTCTGTCTGTAATAAAAGAGGAGAGAGAACAGATCCATGCCTGCCTCTAATCACAGCCGTCTTCTCTTACCAGGAAGCTGCACTGCACCAGGAACTACATCCACATGAACCTGTTTGTGTCGTTCATCCTGAGATCCGCCTCTGTCATCTCCAAAGAAATCATCTTATGTGTCATGTACTCCAACCTACCAAGAGACGACCCGGGGTGGAACTCGTACTCCACGTCTGCTGTATGCTAAAGCAAACACATCCACCTGTAAAAACAGCAGCTGCTTCAAACATTGTAAGACGCTAATTTAATGTTTTCCCGAGCAGATATCGTGGATGTGTAAGTTCTCCAAAGTGTGCATGGAATACTTTGTGGCCTGTAACTACTTCTGGCTGCTGGTAGAGGCCGTCTTCCTCCACACACTGCTCTTCACCGCCGTGCTTACGAAGAGGCGTCTGCTGAAGAAATACATGCTGCTGGGCTGGGGTGAGGACTCTGCAGCTACTCACATGTTTGTGTGTAAGGAAGAGTAAAACATGCAGTTTTCATCATACTTTTGATGACTCATCCGTTTCGATTTGATGAAGGATAAGAGTTATTCACAATAAGGCGTGTAGCTGACCTGATTGACAGGTGTAACGGTTTGTCAGGAGGCTTAAAACCCGCCTCAGCTCCAGCTCTCAGCCTGTCGTTAGGTTGACTCAAAGTTAGGCTGAGACAGCATTTCCAGCATGGAGACCGCCATCGACTGGTGAAGGGTGATGTCACTCAGGCTTCATGCATTCATATTTACAGTCTATAAGTTAATTACGATTAATTGCATTTTTAATCACACATTTTAATTGACAATTTTGCATTTAAAAACAGAAATGGTCAAGCTTTTATTTTGAAATGTTTGTACCGTCTTAAGCTGTCAGTCAACTCAGCCACGCCCATAATTATGCAAAACTCTTATCCTTAATCAAATCAAAACAGATGTATCCTGTTAGCCTCTAGTGGACACTCAAGGCCTGCAGTTTTTTGCACTTCCACATTTGCTACATAATTAATACTTTAGTCCTCAAACTAGGCTCCTTTCCCGCCTGTCATTACCCACTCTCTCTATCTATCTCTCTCTCTCTTTCTCCCTGGTTTCCTCCTCTGCCATCTGTCCTTTCAAAATAAAGGCAAAAAGCCCCAAAAATAAATCCACTAAGTGAAACTCTTCTCGTGTTCAGGCACACCCGTCCTCTTTGTGACCCCGTGGACTGTGGTTAAGATTCTATATGAAAACACAGAGTGAGTGATTCTCTACAGACTTCATATTAAATTAATCTAAATGTTTCAGATTGTCTGACATTAACTCTTTGCCTCTGCGTTCCTCAGATGCTGGCCGATAATGAACATGTGGTTCTGGTGGATCATCAGAGGTCCCATCACGCTAGCCGTGCTGGTGAGAGAACGCTGAATTAAACTGATGCTCACGTGAGCGTCTGAGAGTCATCGAGCTGTTTGTGATTTCACACGCTGTTTGATGCTCTCGGTCATGTGACCACATGTGATCTTGTATCTGTGTTTAAAAGTCACGAGCATGACCGATCACTGATTTATCTTTTTATGAAATCACAGCGACAGAAACCTCATCAGCAAAGAGCATAGATAAAGGATTCAATGTCAGACAGAAACAGCAGAGATCAGATGTTAGAAGAGCTGAAATCACTAAATTAGAAATAATGAGGAGGTTGATTCTAGTTTTGAAGGTCCAATCACCACTCGTTTCAGCTGCTCCCCTCAGGCAGTGGTTTTAGAGTACCACTGGCGAAAAAGAAAACTTACAGAAACTATTTCATTCCCACTACAATACGCATTTTAAACAAGGCTAAATGAGCAATGTTTTTTAAATGCTGTGCATATGTGTTTTTACCTATTTAGGGTACTAATGACCTAATGTGAGTGTTAGTGTGAATGTGTGTATGTTTTCATGTTGAGCCTCAACAAAAGGTAATTTTCTGTCACAATGTGATAGACAATAAAGTTTTTTGAATCTTGAATCTTGAATCTTGAATCTTGAATCTTGAATCCGTAAGATGTGTAGTGAGTGAAATGATAAAGTGACCTTACTATATGATCAGACATTAAGGAAACATGCTATGTTGAAGTGGATTTTTTTGGACCAGAGAAGGTAGACGGTTTTAAGGCTGCTCTCTCCAGATTGTATAGATTTGGGTGATCCTTTTGGACAGAGTGGGATGATAATGCTTCGTTGATCCTGTCAGTACTGAGTACAGGTGTTAAAAGAGTTTTTCTGTCGACACATTAACAGTCAAATGTCCTTTATTTTAAATGCATAACATGTAAGTGAATCTTTGCATGTATCTTATTAATCCTTGTGTTTGTGTTGCAGGTGATTTTCTTCATATTCATCAAGATTCTGATGCTGCTGCTCTCCAAACTGAAAGCAGATCAGGTGAAGTTTACCGACTACAGATACAGGTGAGTCTCCTGACCTGAACATTTTGACCTTGAGCTTAATAACCCAACTGCTGTCTTTAAACAGAGCAGCAGCTTCGTGGTTTAAAGATGTTAATCATTTTGTGTTCAGCTCAGACTCAAATGTCAGCTCGGCGTCTGTTCTGCAGCAGAAATGTGGCCTCAGGAGGGAATCACATGTACATTAACTTACAAAGCTTCTTTCTCCTCCAGTTTGCTCTTTATGCTCCAGTATAAACTTTACACCCTTCATTATGTCTCTATGTCTGTGTGTGTGTGTGTGTGTTTGTGTGTGTGTATGTGTGTGTGTGTGTGTGTGTGTGTGTGTGTGTGTGTGTGTGTGTGTGTGTGTCTGTGTGTGTGTGTGTGTCTGTGTGTGTCTGTGTGTGTCTGTGTCAGTCTGGCCCGGGCGACTCTGGTCCTGATTCCTCTGCTGGGGATCCATGAAATCGTCTTCACCGTGCTGATCGATGAATATGTGGAGGGCAGCAGCCGCTACGCCCGAAACTTCATCAACCTCACCCTCAGCTCCTTTCAGGTGACACCCGATTGGTCAAATACTGTAATACACATTTAAAAAACCTCAGCCACATTAAACAGGGATTTTTTTTTTTTTTTTATCCTTCGTCTGTTTCAGGGCTTCTTGGTTGCTGTGCTCTACTGTTTTGCCAACGGAGAGGTATGTTTCTTCTTCTGTTTGTATTTGTGTGTAGCTTTACCCACTATTGAAACCCAATCACTCGTCTGCATTTAATCAAGCGGCATCCTCCAGAGTTGAAAACTGAAGCCAAGGAGGAAGTGTTAAGACCTGCAGTTCCTAGAGTGTCCACTAGAGGCTGACTGCAAAAGCTGAAAATTTCCCATAAACACCCGTTCGTAAAAAAAAACTGCCTTTGTGACAGCAGAAATAAACACGTTTACATCCTGGTTCAGAATAGGAATGTATATTAATTTGCTTTTAAATGTTTGCTTTATCGATGGGTGTCTGATACATGAGTTTCACGGTGATGCAGTAGTTAGTGCTGTTGCCTCACAGCAAGGTTCTTGGTTTGAATCCCCATCTGACAAGATCCTCTCTGTGCGGAGTTTGTAAGTTCTCCCTGTGCATGTGTGGGTTCTCTCCAGGTACTCCGGCTTCCTCCCACAGTCCAAAAACATGCTCGTTAGGTTAACTGCTGACTCTGAATTACCCGTAGGAGTGAATGTGAGTGTGGCTGGTTGTCTGTTTCTATATGTCAGCGCTGTGATTGGCTGGAGAACCATCCAGAGTGTAACCCCGCCTCTCGCCCAATGACAGCTGTCAAAGGCTGCAGTCCCACCGTGACCCTGAACGGCACAAGTGGTATAGATAATGGATGGATGGATTTCTGATGCCTGTATCGGTATTCATATAACTCAAATGTATCAAGGCTTTAAAGGTCACATATTCTCCTCCTCTTCAACCAGTGTAAATAAGTTTCAGAGCTTCTTAAAACATGTCTGTGAAGTTTCTTGTTCTTAATCCACTCTGATCCTGTATTTGATCATGCCCATTAACCTCTCTATTTCAGCCCTGCTCAGAACAGGCTGTTTCTGTGTCTGTACCTTTAAATGTAAATGAGCTGTGTCTGACCACGCCCCTCTCTGGAAGGGTTTGGGTGGCTCGGGCTTTCTCGCTCCATGTATTGTATAATATGTGACCTTTAAAGGTCAAGCTTCGATGAGCCTGGTGTACCTAGAAATTCAGTTTACAGATTAAATAACTTGTTGGAGAACATTCTTGAGCATTTAGCCGCTAAAAGTCTGACTTCTGAGAAGCTGGAAGTCCTCAACCATCCAAACAAACTGTGACAACATTTAGAAGTTCCATATTTTAAGGGTCGGAGGCCATAACGGAGACATTCAGTAGACGTGACCTTCAGAAGCTCACACATGATCTCATGTAGTGAAACTACTAAAGAGCCTTTTCTTTCTACTGGTATTCAGGTCCAGGCTGAGCTGAAGAAGCGCTGGCAGCTCTTCCTGTTTACAAACCACTTCCAGGTGAGGAGCTGCTTCCACAACGTTCCCCTCAAACAGCTGTGGAAGCGCACCCGAACGCACCACACGCACTGCTCCTACGACGACGGCGGCACCTCCACCACGCACCCACACCTGCTGCAGGTGGCGGTCCATGGAGGAGGAGGGGGGTTGGGAGTAGGAGAGGTCAAAGGTCATGGGCTGAAGGGCTGTGAGACAACAGGAGTGGACTTTAAGACCAGGAAGAGTCTGTCGAGCAGCGACGGTGAGATGACGCTCGGAGAGACCATGGAGGAGATCCTGGAGGAAAGCCAGTTCTGATCATTTCAATACTTTTAAAATCGTGTTGTACTCCATCCTTCCAGCTGCATCAGCCCCCGAGAAAAGGTGGTTAGTATGGGGACCAGGTGTCACAAATACAGAGGTGTCATGACGTGTTTCCTGCAGTGAGTCAGAGCTCTGACATGTTCTCACCGTGTCTCTGAAGGACGTTTCTGTGTCGGCTGTTTGTGAGAACAGAGAAGTGAAGCTCAGCTCACATTTGGAGAAACTGAAATCATTCCAACTTAAAATCAAAGAACGACAGAAAATAATAAACATTCACTTTGTTCCAACGTGTAAATCTGCTGCTTGTCGTACGTCGACCATGTTGGCTGCTTCTCTTTCATCAACATGGCTCCAAGCCTCCCTCGCTTCTCACAGACATTGCACAAGTTCACTAAGCCCAAGACGATGCCCCCTCCCCCAGTGGTCAGCCCATGTACACAGTCTGGTAGAGCAGGTGGCATGTATGCATATAGAAAATCCGCCAAGAAACAGAAAGAAGAAAAAGCAACGACACGAGGGCTGAGTCCATCCTGCTAACCCACATCGACCCTCCACATCCACCGTGCAGCTCAGAGGATGAAACGGGCCTGTGCTGCGCGGATATGACGGTTTTTGAAGCGACAGGAGTCGTTTTGAATGACGTCATATAGCGATCATCTTCCTGGTTTGAGCACAGTTACCTTCACATCTCCCGCAGACCGTACTCGAGTACACATGAAAAGTGACTGAGATCACTTCTTCAAACAGACTCTGGTACGGTACCTGAGTGCGGTACGTTTGTGTTCAATCTGATCAAATGAACCAGACTTTGGGATTAGAAGTACTCGAGGCTAAGACCAGGTTCCCTAAAGTGAAACCACCATAAAGTGTACTTTGTCAGAAAAGATCATCTTGGATCAAACTGCCCCTGAAGCTAAATGACAGTTTACGTCATTTAGATAAAAAGGACGGGGTTTGTTATGATACGCTACCCGACTAAACTCTACAATACGTAACGATGATAAAGTTCTACTATTCAAAAGAGTAGATGTTGTGTTTCTGCAGAACCCAAACCTGGATGACTCGGGACACAACACTACAAGGGGTCAAAGTCAGACTGGGCCCCTGGTTTCTGAAGGTGGCGGTGGGAACATTTGGCGGTTGGAGTATTATTCTCCAATTTCTCAAAGATGGGCCAAGATGTACAGTTTCCTTCATTAGCTTGATGCTAACACATAATGACAGTTGCCATTGACAGGCTAACGTAATGATATGCCGCTCCCTTAAAGGGATACTTCACCCGTTGAAACATGAATCTGTATTGACATTGGGTCATGTGTAGTAGAAATGTGAAATAAATTTTGAAGTTGGTGCCTCCTTGGCCAGCAATATAGCAATATAGCTGGGAGATGGCTGCTGCCGACAGGCCGGTCTTGTGTCACGGCAGCCCCTGTGGCCAGCGCTAGTGCCGGGGCCGCCGCGACACAACACTGGCCTGTCGGCAGCAACCGTCTCGCCGCTATATTTATATTTTTTCGCCATTATCAGCTTTCTCCATAGAGCCTGTTAGCATAGCCTCCAAGCAATATGGCGGATGTTAAGTTTCGATTCTGGGAGTGAGTTCCCACCCACTGATCTGTGATTGGTCTGTAGCTTCAGTGGTCGAAAATATGAGGAACTAGCGTTGTAGTTTCACACCGCTAACCACAACAGCTTCCAGTGACGCAATATGATGATATTTGCGTCACTGGAAGCTCCTTTTCAGACTTAGAAATACAGAACTTTCCAGTCTCAGGGGGAAATGAGGGCTGGATGCACATTAGGCGTTCTGGTTGGCTAATGCATGCCCTGTTTACTTAACGGTCCAACCCGATATTACTTCTTTATGGTGCTGTGAAAGAAAATATTAGCTATATTATCAGCTATTAGTGATGAGGAAGAAGGCGGTGAAATGTAAAAGGGCAGAAGGAGCTTTATTAATGGGATCTGAGGTTCAGCTTATCAAAGGGCAACGATGGACGACGTTCAACACATTGTGTTCTTTCCTCTTGGCATGTGACTGTTTATCACAAGAAGTGCTGCACGCTGACATTAGAAGAAGAAGACCATATACTTAATTAAAACTTGATGATTCGCAAATAAAACAGAAACAGCCTTGAGATGACTCTCTCATGAAATCAACAGGATATTTAAACATGGCATGTTTTGTGTTTGGCCTTCATTACAACGGTCATACAGGAAGTGCCGATTCTTTCGACCGACCAACAGACCGCAGAGTGTCTAGCTCCGCCCCTTAGGGTCTGATCGGTACAATTGGCACCCCAACAGAAGGGGAGCAAAATAGTAGGACGATACAGATCGGTTATTTTGGTACCATTCCCACCTTTGACTGTGGAAACGCCGATAAATGGTTTATCGTACAAAATGGATAAGACCACTTGGTGGCTTTATTGGAAACAAGATGCAAACTGGGAGTGTATGTTTTGAATGTTTTTGTATTAAATCAGCTGTAATACAAACCAGAGTGACTGTTCAGAAGACTAAAGGAGTGAAGTGTTTACTGTGAAAGAATCAAGAGTGATGAATGTCGAGTTGAAGCCTCTCGCTGTAAAAATATAAATCATTCCTTCAGCCGTACTGAATCAGCATGCAAAGACTAACAGACTCTGACTGTTGTATAATGTTTGTTTTTTAACCTCAGTGTCGAGGGTTTCCCACCGTTTTTATTTACAGTGTAAAAGATCACATTATAACAGTTACAGGTGAGTGAACACCTGGATGTGAATATAAATACAGTGTATTTGTTGAATATTGTAAAGGCTCTTTGTGCAGCAGGTGGTCTTTGAATGCATCATGTGTCCATCTGTTCATGGACTCTCACTCCTACAGTATACGTGCAAACATTAAACACATTTTCACCTGCAGCGTCGTCGTCTTCTTTCAGTTCTGCTTCCCCTGACGGCGACTGAACGTCCTGTTTATTTTACTTAGTGGTCACATGAAGCGTCTTTGTTTACCAGAATCCCACTGTGATATCGCAAGCAGAGCACATTTGAAATGAAGCATTTTTCTCTGTGTTGTAAGACTTATGCAGACCACAAACAAAGGACTGGGTGGAATTATTTCACATGTTGTGGGTCAGTAGACTCTCAGGTTACCCAAATATATGTTCAAGCATATTGATTTTTCATAATATGTCCCCTTTAACTCTCCTCCTGTACGGGGGGGGGGGGGGGGGCACTTTTCTTCCATGATTGATATTTCGGTCATACGACGGCACACACTCGCACAGTGAGAGCTGATGCCTCCGTCCACATGTCAGTAACAACAGAGCAGTAGATGAACCGGTCATCAAATTAGATACAAGATCTAATATAAATATAAGTAATTAATAAACACAACATCAGCCTCAGCATGCAATCTGAAGCTTCTGAGTGCTGCTCTGCTGCACAGCAGCTGTTAGAAAGTAATATCTGTAATACAACTTGTTACACTTTTTATTTCAGTTAATTAATAAGTTGACAAAACATGAATTATATGAACTTCTACAAAAATCATTTAAAAGAGAGCGAGAATCTCAATTCACAGACTTGTCCTAATCCAGAGTCTCACAGCATGTCTGATCAGCAGTGATTTGACCCGGATGACCTGCTGCACGGTTCTGATACGAATCAGGGCCATGTGAGTTTATTACGCCCTGATCTCAGCCAATCAGCGAGCAGCGTGAGTCACGGAGGGGGAGGTTTTAGCTGCACACTTTTCATCCCCTCTCTCTCTCTCTCTCTCTCTCCCTCTCTCTCTCTCTCTCTCTCTCTCTCTCTCTCCTCTCAGCTCTTTATCATCTCCTTCCTCTTCTGTTCGGCTCTTCAGGTGTTCGTCATCATCATCATCATGGCGGAGAGGTTCGGATACATCAGCCGCGTGCAGAGCTTCAGCGCGTGTCACCGGCTCCACAGGTTAGTCTTCATCCGCCGGTTAAAAGAGTCCGTTATATTCAGCCTCTGTTACCGGAAACGGGCTGCTTTCCTCAGACTGGCAGACTGTGCCGATTATAAAATCCTGCATCAGTGAGTGTAGAGGTTTTAAACATGTCTGAGACTGGAGCACCGAGCGGCTGACAGCGGTCCGTTCAGACCCGGTGATCCGCCTTACAGAGCGGCGAGACTCTGTTTACTACTTCACTTTAGAAACGAAGAGAACCTTTGGATTTAGCCGGGGGTTCGTGCGATTTGTAGTTCATTTTAACCCATAGATATAATCGCTACTGCCGAAGCGCTTGTGCTGCCTTGAAGTGCAATCATAACAAAGAGTTCCGAAAGAATAGACCGGAGTAATTTTAGTTTTTTCTATTCAACCTACACAGGCAGACAAGATGTTAATATGCTGGGGAAATAATAAGTGACATCAAAATAAATCAGGGAATAAAAGGCGTTTTGATAATGTAGTGACTTTATTTCTAAATGCAGATTCAGTGTGAGTAATCTTAAGAGAAATAAAATAAAAGCAAGCAGTAAACGCTTACTGAGCTTTACTTTGAAAAAAATTCTCATGTTCAAGGAGGAACCTCAGGTGTTGAAAAATGAAGCTGATGGACCAGCAGAGAACAGATCCTGAGATGCCAAGTTCAGAGAGCGTGGATTTGGTTAAGCAGATCAGGCAGTAATAGAACTGGACTAGGACTGACCCGCAGTTCTATTAATTTATAAAACGGCATTTGTTGGACCCAAGGACGCTTTATTTTAACATCGTGCAGTGTGGGAGCATCGGCTATCCAACCAGGTAAACTCTTACTCGCAAAAGATTACTTGAGTCCAAGCGGCAACCTCAGTGTTGAAACATGAAGTCGATTCTGATGTGTAAAATCCTGGAGGTCCTCAAGTGTCCACTAGAGGCTGGCTGCAGAAGCACAGGAAGTCACATACACACCCATTCTAAAAAGCCTGTTTTTCAATTCAATTCAATTCAATTCAAAAAGCTTTATTTGTCCCCAGGGGGCAATTCAAAGGCACACAGAGCAGTAAATTAACAACAGTGCAAGTAAACGAAACATTTTAATCTAAATATAAAGTGTCAATTTAAATACAACTTAAAGCTTAAACTTAACTTAAAAATACAAAATATAAAAGAGTAGATATAAGTGGACAGTGATCGGACTAACAGATGTAAACAGATGTAAACAGAACTATGTGCAGTAGTGACCAGATGTAAACAGAACTATGTGCAGTAAACGAGAAATAAATATATATATACAGAACTATGTGCAAGTAGGCAAATACTAAATGATAAGTTATTAAGGTGCATGGTGAATAATGGAACAACAGAATTAATATATACAATATAACTGTAAGGTAAGAATTAGATAAATAAAGTGACCATAGTGCAATGATGGATAAGAAACATCAGGAATAAAGTAACCAGAACTGTATGAATACTGAAATCAAATGGATAGATTAAAGTGATGTAGTGCATGAGACCAGATAAAGCAGAGGCAGTTAAGGTGCACGGCAAATATAAAGGAAGTAAAAAAGCAAAGTTCACAGCTGAGAGTCTGCATTGGGTGAGAGGTGTTGGTGTCTGTTGGGGGGGGGGTTAGGAGTTGAGGAGCTGGACAGCCCTGGGAACAAAGGTTGCTCTTCTCCTCTGTGTCCTGCAGCAGGGACAGCGAAGCCGGCGTCCTGAAGGGAGCCACTCAAACGCTGGGAAGAGAGCGTGTGAGGGGTCCTGCATGATCCGACCTGCTAGCCTGATTGTCTGTTGCTCATAGATCGATGTCAAAGTCCTTACAGGTAGTCCAATGATCTTAAAGCAGACTGTGACCGTGCTCTGCAGGTGGTTTCTGTTATGGAGGGTGGTGGAGTGGAACCAGCAGGTTAAAAAAATAAAAATAATGATGCTCTCAATGAAGGAGTAGTAGAAGATCAGAAGAATGTTCTTACTGACTCCAAAGGAATTGAGCTTCCTTAGGAGGTATTTTCGCTGCTGACATTTCCTGAGAATCTCCTCGGTGTTGGAGGCGAATTTCAGCAGGCTGTCGAAGATGGTACCCAGGTACTTATACTCCTCTACTAGTTCGACAGGATTCCCATGGATTGTGGTGATTGCTGATGCAGCTAGTTCCCTCTGCTTGTTGGAGAAGGTCACCACCATGTCTTTGGTCTTGCTCATGTTCAGTTCAAGGCAGGAGCTGTCACACCACTCCACAAACTCCTGAAGAACTGCTCCATGGTGCTGAGAGGAGCCTGACAGCAGAGACAGGAGAACTGTGTCGTCTGCGTACTTCACCAGGTGACAGTTTGGCTGTGTGGTTCTGCAGTCATCGGTGTAGAGGATGAAGAGCAGAGGTGAGAGCACACAGCCCT